TTTTTGCGGAGCTACTAGGGTTTGAACCCTGGGCTTTACTGCTTGCTAGACAGGTAGACAGGTGCTCTGCCACTTGAGCCATGCCCCCAGTCCATTTTGCTTTGTTTTTGGGATAGGGTCTTGCATTTTTACCTGGGACAGGCCTGGACTGCAGTCTTCCTACCTATGCCTCCTACATAGCTGGGATGACAGGTACACCCCTCCATGCCCAGGTTATTGTTTGAGATGGGGGTCTTGCTAACTTTGCCCAGGCTGGCCTTGAACTGAACCATGATCCTCCTGCTCTCTACCTCCTGAGTAACTGAGACTATAGGCATGAGCCACCATCATGCCTGACCCAAGTATCTTGTCTGCTGAGAGCAGGACTGACCTCCTGGCAGGTCATAAAGATGTAGCTGAGGCCTGCACTACTTTAGGTCCTTGGAATGAACTGGAACAACACAGTCAGTAGTCTCTAGTGCTGAAAGCAGCACCCTCACAGCAGGCCAGGTGCACGGGGTTTGGTGTCTTTTATTCTTCAGATAAGGGTGCTGTTCTCTGGGGCCCCAGGCCTCAAGTGATTTCCCATGTTGGCCTGAGTACAGGTCTGAGATGGAGGGGCTTGTGGTCAAGAGTGGCCTGAGCAGGTTCCCTTGGTGCTGGGGCTGGAGGATGACAGTGGCAGGCACTTAGGGACTGATTTCACCAGAGGGAGTGGCAAGTGCAGAGACCCAGAAGTGGTGTGCGCTTGGTGCATTCTCACGGTGAGAACTGAGAGATGAGGCCAGAGAAGAAGACAGGGTTTGGCAGCTAGCATATGGCTTTTTCTTAATGACATGGATGTCATTGGTGGGCATGATTGCGACAGCTTAGCTCCAGTGGCTGGCGGGTGGAGGGACCATGGTGTAGCAGGAGGAGGCAGGTGGTGGGGCCATGGCCCTGAAGGCAGACCAGCTGACCTACATGTCTTTGCAGTACCTGCTCCACTACCTGATTGCCCTCAAGAACTGGCTGAACCGTTACAGCTGGCAGCGGACCCCCATCTCTGTCACAGCTTGGGCCCTGCTGCGGGACAGCTACCATGGGGGGCTGTGCCTCCGGTTCCGGGCTCAGCACCTGGCTGTGGCAGTGCTCTACCTGGCCCTACAGGTCTACGGGGTCGAGGTGCCTGCTGAGGCCGGGACTCAGAAGCCGTGGTGGCAGGTGAGGTGATTGCTTAGTGCACTGGACAGCGTCCCTTTCCTTTCAGAAGTCCTTCAACTTGGTGCTCACCAGTTTCTTTCTATTATCCATAAAGAAAGCTATTGGCCACTTGCAAATGTTGCAGCTTGAAGATATCCTGTTATAATAGTCTACGACTGGGCTCTCCCCCTTGGCACTATTGCCATTTAGGGCCAGGTATTCTTTGTGATAGGGATTGTTGGATGTTGACCAGCAGTTCTGGCCTCTACCCAGACACTGTCAAATGTCCTGGGGTATAGGTTGCCCCAGTTGAGAACCAGCGAGCTAAGCCAAGAGCATCACTTACTAAATTGAGTAGGAACTTGACATAGATCAAGAGGCTAATAAACCTGGATTCCCCTAAGAAGCACATGCTTCTTGGCAAAGATGGGTGGGTGGACAATAGGCAGGAAAATGATAGGTCATATAGAGGGATGAATAGGTAGATAGACGATAGAATAGGTAGATGGTATGTAGGTAGATAGAGGATAGATAATAGATAGGATGAGATGGACGGATGAGGCAGTTGGCAGCTAGGTAGATGGGTGGGTAACTGGCAAGTTCTCTGCCTCACTCAGACTTAATGAATCAAAGTGTCTTTGGTGGCATGTTGAAATCTGTCCATTGGAAGAGCTATGAGGATGACAGGTGCCACTCTGAGGAAGGCCATGTCTTCCTGACACATACCTTCCTGGCCTGCTTGTCCTCTATGGGAGACCTGACCTCTCTGGTTTCTTTTCTGTCCAATCTTACCTGGGCCTGGCATGTAGTTGGTGCTCAGAGTCTTTGAGTACACACAGCTGGAGTCACAGTCTCAGATCAGGCATGCCTCTAAGGTTGTGTGGGGGTAACTGGGCACCTGTGTGGAGTAAGTATTACTCCATGCTCCATCGTATCAGGGACTGTCAGATAATAGGACTGCAGTGGCCTTGTTTGGTTAGAATCAGGTGGTTCCAGAAGAAGCTGTCATTTCCTGGTTCTGCTCTCTGAGGACATCTGGTGGGCATGATAGCCCCGTCTCTCAGCTGCTTGGATCTGCAATTGTCTTATTTCTCACTGTGCTGCCTCCCCTGTTTTGCTTTTTTTCTATTCTTTCTTCACTAGTTTATAAACTTCTCCTGATGCACCAGCACCACCTCTGCTCCCAGCCCTCCCAAGAGGAGCTCCAACCACACTGGTCCAGCACAGCTGGAAAGTGGCCCTGCCATGAGGCTGTTTTCTGGGCAACACAGACTCACTCAGTAATTGCTCAGCTTGGGAAGAAGTTGCCTTTTTGGGGGCAGCAGACGCATGTTCACCCAGCTCTTCTTAAAGCCTGCCAAACTTGACTTCACCTTTTCTGGATGGCTCAGGGCTGCATGCACTGGGAGCTTCCAGAATCCGGAGGCCCCTTTGGGCTGGTGAGGTGCAAGGGCCAGTTGCCTGGGATGAGCCACTCCTGGGATGGCCCCAGCTGCACGGACGCTAGGAAGCTCAGGTCTGATATTTGAAACACTTTCCCCCTCGTGTGCTCTCCACTGCCACTCTTTTTGCTGCACCTGCCTCCCTTGTCACTTGTTGGCTGTGGGCTTAGCATGAGAGCCCAACATGCTTCTCTGCAAACAGCTTGACTGCCCTTGAGTACGTGCATGCTGAAGCTGTGTGCCAGCCTCTGGGCACATGACGCACGAGTCTGACCTGCAAGACGATTGAGGATGGCAGTGGGTTCAGAAATGCTGCAGGTCATCCACATCCAGAGCTGCACCAGGGCTCTCTGTACCCTTTTCCCTAAAAGTAGGGCGGTCTCTCTTATTTCCAGCCACTGTTGCTCTTTGTCATACAGATAGGCAGACCATCTGTGCATAAGAAGTTGACATCCCTAGCCAGTTAGAATCAAGCTGCTAGGCCCTCTTAGTCCAGTGTCATCATGGGAACTTAGAGATGTGTCCCTTTTCTGACAGGTGCCCCAGGGTTGTCATCTACTCTGGCTATTTTTCTTAAGTTGTAACCTGAGATAAAATGTACCATCTTCACCGTTTTTAGGTGCACAGTTCAGTGGCATTAAGTCCATTGACATTGCTATGCAGCCATCACCACCAACCATCCCAGAAGTCTTTCATGCAAATCTGTCCCCATTAAACACTAAGTCCCAATTTTCCTGCCCCAGCCCCTGGCACCCACCATCTACTGTATGTCTTTATGAATTTGGCTACTCTAGGAACCACACAGAAGTGGAACTGGTGGGACTGGGATTTGAACTCAGGGCTTTGCACTTGCAAACATGGTGCTGTACTGCATGATCCGTGCTTTCAGTCCATTTTGCTGTAATTATTTTGGAGATGGGGGTTTCATGAACTATTTTTTCAAGCTGGCCTTGAACCATAGTCCTCCCCATTTCAGCTTCCCAAGTAGCTAGAGCACAGGTGTGAGCCACTGGCACCCAGCTAGTATTTGTCCTCTATGACTGGCTCATTTCACTGAGCATATCCTCAAGCATCATCAGGAGTCCCTTTCTTTTGAAGGCTGAGCAATATTCCATTGTGTGGAGGGGCCACGTAGTATTTATCCATATATTTGTCCATCTATAGATATACTTGAGTAGCTCCCACCTTTTGGGCCTGGATGCTCTTTAATGGTCATGTCAACATGGTGTCTCCCAGGAGTGCACAGGTAGTAGGCCTGACAAGCAAGCCTATAGTTTTGAATATAGAGCCCAGGGTGAGAGAGCTATACTTACTGAGAGAGGCCTGGAGGGTTTCCAGGTCAACGTCTCCCACCTGATGTTGTAGGCCATGGAGGGGCCTACTTTTCTTTGGGAGGGGGATGAAAAGGGTGAACTTACGTGTAGTTCTTGCTTTTGTTGAGCTCAAGGCCTTGACCTGTTTGGTACCTTTGTTCCCCAGGCAGCAACCTCCCTGGTGCAATGTGGCTTTCGCATCCACTGGGGGCTTGTGTGGATGGGTCCCCTAGAGCACCCTCAGGCTTGATTTCTGGGAGGACTCACAGATTCTAGAAAAGCCACCATACTCACAGTTAAAGTTTACTACAGCAAGAGGATACAGGTTAAAATTAGCCAAGATACAAGTATGGTACCCAGGACAGGGGGCCAGGAGAGGCTAGGCGTGAGCTTCCAACTGCCATCTGTGATGTGGGGCAGCATGCACAGAGTATTACTAGCCAGGAAGCTCACCTGAGCTCTGGTGTCCAGGCTTTTTACTGGGTTTGGTCATGTAGGCACAGTAGGCATGGAGTGCCCAAGTGCTTGACCTACGTTGCTCAGGTCCCAGCTACCCTGAGGTCCAGCTGGTACTGTGCCCCCATGTGTGTTGTGGCACCAGCACAGACTACCTGGCAGGGCCCTAGACTTCAGGTAAAACAGGACACTCAGCAGGCAGGATTTTCTAGGGGTTTAGATGATTTTCCGGGAGCCAGGTAGAACCCAGACCTGCCTTTGGGAGGTATAAGGTATGGCCCCTAGGCCCGTGAGTTGGCCTTGCACACCATTCTTGGTTTAGGACCCCAAGGATGTGCCTCAGTTTTGTGAGCCTTCCTGCCATTTTACTCTGGATATCTGTTCTAGGTGTTCCTCAGGGGCTGAGCTGGTGGAGGGGGGTGGAGTCCAGGTTACCTAGCCTGACAGTTTCTGGAAAACAATGCAGCCTTTCTCCTGTAGCCAACATCCCTAGAAACCCTGGACTTGAGAGAACCCCAGGCAGGAGGCAGGAGCCTGTGTTCTGGGCACAGTTCTGTCATCAACTCCCTGTGTGACCTTGACCAAGTCCCCTCTCCTGTCTAGATCAGATGATTGATTACCAAGGCCTCTTCCATCTGGATTGTTCTCTGCTTTGAAAGTCTTCGATCAGCCTCAGCAGGCTGGAACCGAATTGGTTTGTCAGGAGAGCCACCATAATCTAGATTGCCAAGTCCCCATGCCCCCGTCCCACCTGGGAAATACCATTCTGTGCTAGTAGTCAGTGCCGCCGCATTTAACAAAAGTGGGAGTCTAATTTGAGCCTGTTTTCCTTCTCCTTTCTAGGTGTTTAGTGACGACCTTACCAAGCCAATCATTGATAATATTGTGTCTGATCTCATTCAGATTTATACCATGGACACAGAGATCCCCTAAGGCCTTGGCCCAGGCCTTCCCAAAGAGAAGCCCAGGATGGTCGACTGCCTGGGGACGGTGCCACCATGTCGCTGTGACGGCCAGTCCCCAGAGGACCAGCTGGGAGGACTGGTTATGCTGCTGGATATGGGCTGGTGAAAGGTGATGCCATGCTGCCACTTTGACTGTCCCCAGCAGGCCTGGCCCAGGCGATGTCAAGAGCTATGCCTCCAGCAGGCAGGCCAGGAGCTCACAATGTGTGGCTGCCCTGGGGCAGCCACATCACATCTGCTTTTGCTCTTTGAGATGACTACAACTGCAACTGAGGCATGACATCACTGACAGGAGGGTTGAAGAACAGATGGGACTGCACCCCTAGGAATTTTTTAAAAGCCAGATTTATAGAAAGTATAAGTGTGCAACATAGACGGATTTTATTTTCTGTAATAAAAATGATGCAAATCAACAGAGAGCCCCTGTCTTTGCTCTGCAGTCCCTGCTAGACGTGGTCACAATGTAGCAGGAAGTCCTGAAGTGGGGTTTTTATGTCAAGACTGTCTAGAAGTGGAGTTCAGAGAGATGCCAAGCTGTGGCACCCTCTCATCCTTCTCAAGCCCCTTTAAAAAGACTGTCTGTCTGGTGTGTGACCAATAGCAGCCTGGCATCAAGCCCCTCAGGGGGCTTGGTGCACATTCAGCTCATTTGGGAGGTTGTGACCACAGGAGGGTGGGCTCTGGCACCCACAAGTTTGTGGGCTGGGGTAATGCCTGGAGTTTTCCATGGGCTTCAAGTGAGAGCTTCCTGTCACGTAGGCATCACTTGTCATCCCTTGTGGAAGGCAGAGGAAAAGGAAGTGGTCACATAGCTGATAAGACAGCAGAAGGGCTTGCTTGACCTTACAAAGTAACTGTGTTATCTGTCCCCAGGGTAAGGAAGCTGAGCAGATGTCACAGCCTTCCCCGTGGGCAGGCCTCTCCAGGTGGCCTGGCTTCCATTTCGTAGAACTGCCTTACGAGATTTGGTGATAAACTTCTTAATGTGGGTTCAGTTGTAAGCCTTATGAGGCCAAGAAGTCATGAAACAATGTTTATTGAGCAACTGCTGTGTGCCAACTCCTGGCTCAGCTGAGGGCATTGCAGGCAAGCAAGCAGTTGAAACTCCTTGCCCTCCTGGGAGGGAGCCAGTATTGTGGTAGTGAACGAAAGGAAGAGGTACAGTAGATGGGGCAGGCCTCAGTGCCCTGCAGGCCCAGCACATGTCCCCAGCCCAGCCTAGTGAACACATGGTCCACAGCATTGTTCATTGCTTCTCAGAGCACCTGCTTGGCAGCAGGCTCCGACTGAGGGAGCTTAGGTCTCTCATAAATAATAAATAATTGAGCACAGGGTTCCATCTTCTACTGATGAGGGCATGGAACTAGATGCTTTCTGAGACCCTCCTGGACACCTAGTGACTGCGAGCTTCTCCAAATAACTACTTTCCTAAGTAGTGGCTTGGGGCACAGTGTAGTTGCTCACCACGTGGTTGGCTACCAGTTCAGAGATGTACTACTTGCTTTGGGAGTCACAGGCAATTCTTCCAGGTGAGCCAGAAAATATGAGGGGAGGAGTGCCTCTTTTGGCCACACTGCACTCTTGCCATGGTTCATGGACAGTAGCCTCCGAAGTGGCATCCTATCTATCCCTCCTCTTCTCAAGGATGCTGTGCTCTTTTGTTCTGCTTCCCTTGCCACCAGCTCTCCACCCTCAAGTTCTTTTACCTTTTCCTACTTAGCCTTTAGATAAGAGGTCATCCCAGACTAGGCCAGCGGTACCTCCTTTGGGCTCCACTTCCTCCAGAGTGTCCCTTTCCTACTGCATTGTTTCCATACCTGTTTTCCCAGTGCAACTGGAGCCCCTGGAGGACACAGTCACCAGACCCAGAGCTGGGCAGGGTCTCTGAGTACAGAGTGGGAGGGCAGGGCCAAGGCAGCGGGCAGCTGAGGGTTCCAGCTGTCCTTTTTGCCTTCTGCTGTTTCCAAAGTGCCTTGCCTATCTTGCTGTTTGGCATCAACTATGTACTGCCCTTGGCCTGTACTTATTGCCGACTTGAATAGACCTCAGAAACAGAAATTTCACTGTTGGCCTCTGTCTTATCTTCCCTAACAGTTCCTTGGGGTCCTCCTTAGGCTTCAGCTTCCATTGAGGCTGCTTGTGCTAATACATTTATTTATTTATTCCTTTGTTTATTGCAGTGCTGGGGACCAAACGTAGGGTCTCCTGGCTGCTAGGCAAGCTCTCTATCCCTGAGCTATATCCCCAGCCCTGTAGCTGCACACATGATATGAGTTCATTTGGGCTACAAGAGTGATATTCTCGGTTCCCAGACATACTACCCTCCCCTCCAGACGAGAAGGGCTGGGTGGAGAAGCTCTTGTAAAGCCTCCAGAGGGCTCTCTCCACCTGCTTCTGTTTCAGTGTGTCCCCCTCCCCTCTTCCCAGTCCCTCCCCAGGGCATAGCAGCAAGAAGGGAGATAGTTTGATAATGCTCCTTGGGGACTGGGACAAGCATGCCTATCCCCTGGCTCAACACCCCACAGCCCTGGAAGATGGGACGTTTCCTTTCATGATGATTGAGTAGCAGGCAAGTTCCTCTTTCTCCATGGGACTCAGTTTCCACTTTGTGAATTGAGCAGGTTGTACCAAATAATCTGATTGATTGCTATTTTACAAAATCCTGCCACGTGCTTCTGTGCCTGTCATATTGTCCAGGAGACTGGCTGGCTCTGCTTGGTGTTATTTGCGCGCTGGCCTCTGGGCCTGTCAGCTTAGCGCTTGTTGCTTGGATTGTCTGTATTTTTCCTGATATGACATTTAGTGTGTGTGTCTGTCAGGGCCTGTGGGACAATGTGGATGAGGCCTTGTTCTAAGCATTGTAAAAAAAAAAAAACAAGAGTCACTGTTATAGCATGAGGTTTTTCTTTTGCTTCCTATTACCAAGAATTTTGTAAAAAAAAAAAATTGAGATTAAAAAGGTACAACCATCTCCTTTATTTTAGATATAAAAGGTCAGCAATGAGAAACTGATATAAGATATTCTAGAACCTGAAACTTCCAGGAGCTGTTAGTGCAGAACATACCTTAATTACTGTAACATGGCAAATGGCTGAGCCTTACTTGGCCTATAAACCCAGTGGAAGGAGGAGGAGAGCAACCAGGTCCTGGGAGGAACCTGGCCTGTCTCTTCCTTCTTGGCTATGATCCATTAAATTGTGTCCTGGAACCTACAATTATGACCTTATTTGGAAATAGGGTCTTTGCACAAGTCATCAAGTTAAGAAGAGACCATTAGGTTGGCCTTTAATCCAAAAACTGGTGTCATTAGAAGACATGACACAGGCAGATAGATACACGCAGAGGACAAGACCACATGAAGATGGAGGCAGATGTCAGAGTGATGCAGCTACCAGCCAACTAACAACAGAAGCTGAGAGAAAGTTCTGGAATACATACTCTTTGAGGGCCCTCAGAGGAAGTTCAGCTTGTTAACACCTTGATTTTGGATTTCAGGCCTCCAGAACCGTAAGAGGATAAATTTCTGTTGTTTCATGCTGCCCAGTTTAGGGAAGTCTGTTAGAGCCGCCCAGGACACTTATGTGACCCTTCCTCAGACTCCCCAGGCTCTGCTGCCGTGGTGCTTTATTGCTCCAAGCCTTTAGCCTAAGTACAGACTTTTCCCCATGCGAACAGTTGTCCCATTTGATAACAGAAGTGTGCAGGAAAAAGAAGTCATGGACACACATCCATTCTGTGCCAGCTGTTTTGATACGGAATTTGGCCAGTCTACACTTACTGAGCCTTATGATTCAAAATGTACTCACAAAGCAACAAAACAAGGGTTCCATTTGTCTTTTTGCCTGTGGTAGAAGTATAGACTCGTGGTTCGAGGGAGTGTTGAAGCCATTTTTCTCCTTTCTTGGCTGCTGCCATGGAAAATGGCAAGTCTAAAAGGCTAATGTGTGGAGCAGAAAAGTGGCAATATCATAAAATGAGGCAAGGGGAGTCTTAGTGCCGTTGCTGTGGTGGTTATTTGCAAGTCTGGACCCCAGAGCTATCTGCCTGGCTCTTCCTCCTGGCCCAAGAGTGGGGTGCTATGGAGCACAGATGTCCACCTGCACATATTCGGAGGAATCCGGGGAGACAGGAAAGAGGCCTGTAGAGTAAGTGAAATGATGGGCTTTCTTGCTATGGCTTTGAGATAAAGAGGAAGTCTGTGACTGGAACCCTATACACTGCTGATGGGAATGCAAAATGGTGCAGTCGCTGTGGAAACACAGTCTGGTGGTTCCTCAAAAGGTTAAACATAGAATTACCATGGTATCTAGCAATCCCACTGCTGGTTTTTATATATACATTCAAAGGAATTGAAAGCAGGGTCTTGAAAGACTATTTGTTCACCCAGGTTCGTAGCAGCTTTATTCATAACAGTCAAAAGGTGGAGGCAAACCGAGTGTCCTTTCACAAATAGGTGGATAAACAAAATGTGCCCATCCACACAGTGGAATATCACTCAGCCTTAAAAAGGAAGGGAATTCTGATGACGCTTGAGGACACGATGCTCGGTGAATGAAACGGTCACAAAGGACAAATACCGTCCAGATTCCACTTCTATGAGGGCCTTTATATGAGAATGCCATAGCCAAAATCATAGACAGAATGGTAGGTGCCAGGGACCGGGGAGGAAGAATGGCGAGTGTATGGTTGACGGGCACAGGGTTTCATTGTGGAAAGATGAAAAAGTTCTGCAGACAGATGGAGGTGATGGTTGCACAACACTGTGAATGTGCACTTCAAATGGTTGAGGGGTGGGATGTAGCTTAGTGGCAGAGCACTTGCCTACCATGTGTGCGGTCCCGGGTTCAATTCCTAGCATTATAAAAAAGAAGGTTGAGATGTTCAAATTTTCTGTTATATATGTCTGACCTCAACAAAAAAATAGGGAGTTTGTGAGTGTGTTGGGTTCTGGAGTTAGGTTTGGTGTGCTGGTGCTGAATTGTCACGTTGTCACCCCCTCTTCCTCCTCCCCCCCACCACCTCCTGCTCCCATCTGAAGATACTAGCCTGGATGTTCACTGCGGGCCCTTCCAGGTCAAGCCAGTTGGAATATCTAGGGAGCAGGGCACCTCTCACCCATACCACTTCTCCTTGGCCTAAGAACTCAGCAGGGTAACAGCTTGCCAGTGGGGAGAGACGGCCCAGTGCCATGAAGGCATCTGTTTGGTTCCATCTGAGCACTCACCAAATAAATCACACAAATTACCCAGACCAAGATTGTAGGAGCCTTTCATTTTTTTTATACACAGAAATTTTGGTCTATTTTTTAAATTAAGAAACTCAACTACAGACTTTAAATTATTATGCATCTGTGGTCTTTCTCATTAAGATATTTTTGTTCATCTTTATAACAGGCAGATAAAAATGTAACACATATTTATGAACTGAACACAGTTGACCAAGCCATTCCGTATAATATAATGCTTTTATAAAGAAGAGCTTCCCAATGAGACAGGCCCATGGCCTGAAGACTGTACAAGAACTGGAGCAAAGGTGCGAATTCACAGTGCCCCTTTCCTCAACCCCACAGCCCAGCACAAAGGCAGCCTAGGGACTATATAGTCGACATTGACATCAGGCAACTTTACACAGCAGCAGTGAGGGTTTGCTCTTTAATATCTAGCGGCCATTTGCTCTATCGATGTGTTTGTAACAGAGGATGACAAGAAGCCCGTGAGTGCAGCCATACCACACACAGCTGACCTCCTCCAAGTGAAACACTTGGAATTTTACTTTTGTTTAAGAACACAAAGACCCTCAACAAATTGAGCTGCCCTTTTGTTGTGGTTTAAACAAGGAGGACATCAGGGAACAATTTACAAATGGGTAACATTCTCAATGTGCCCTTTAGAAAAAGGGATGGCTTTAAGTTTTCTGTAGCTGGCATTTTAAAGTGGATTTTCTCTTCTAACCGAAATTCTTTTGCCCGAGATTTGACTACTCCTGCTCAGGGGTGACATGGCACTGATGCTAACAGTGGGAACTAAGCCATTTGGCTTTGTGTGGGTGTGGGAGGTGAGACAAGCCTGCCACAAGTGAGTGAGGGACCGGGTTTGACAGGCACAGCCTCATCCTCATCCTACATCCCTCAGCTCCCATCCATCTCCTGGTGGCTGAGCCCCAGGCCCTAGCAACAGGTATATGTGGGAACTGTGCCGAGACCCAGCCACCTCTCTGCTAAGTGTGACACCCAGAAGTTCAGAAAGTCAAGGAAACCTCATGGGCAAAGTGCTGCCCATTTCACTGGTGTCATCATGGGTGTCCGTACTCGGGATGTGGGAGCAGAAGGTTAGGAGGGTTGGCCCTCCACTGGGAAGAGGCCTGTCTGTCTGGGTTTCCCAGGTAAGGCAGCAGACTTTGGGACTCTTATCTCCTTTGCTGCCTCCTCTCAGCTTATCACTCATTCAGGGGAAACTGAGACTTGGTCCAGCAGCAACAGTGATGACATGCCATTTCTCCAAGAGGTTTTGCTTCCCCAGTGTTGCCATTGTGGGTTATATTTGTCCTCTGAATAAGATGACCGGGGCGGGAAGCATGCTTTAGGGGGTGACACTACCCTTGCTGTGGCAGACACCGAGGTGGTTCAGCGAGCACTTTCTGGCATTTGCCAAAACACAAGATGGGAGTCAGTCCAGAGGTGCCAAGGGTGATGGGGTCTGGACGGTTCCCCTAGTCAGCCTCTTGGGTTTGATGATTCTTCTTGCTCAGTCAGTTTCTGTGGGAGTCGGGCTGGCATTGGGGGCTTCCATCTCTGCAGCAGGACCCACACCTAGCATACCGTGTGTAATGCTGTCAAAGTTGAGGTGTGGACAAAGAAAGCCACCAGCCAGAATGAAAGAGTTGGAACTGGTATTGGAACCGAAGGAAACCAAACTTCCCTTGCCACCGACTGGAGGGGTTCACTCCCACCAGTACTTTGGTATTTTCCTTTGAAATACACAATTCCATTGAAAGGTTTTTCTCCTCTATAGGCGAGGGTCTCAAAGTGCAAATGTTCTGATTATAAGGCCTTCAGGCCTCGAGTGTCCCTCCCCCAGACTTTCTCCTCTGGAATCTCAGCAGGGCCATGTATGGGGAGCACCAGGCTAGGGGCTAGGGAGGAAAATGTATCAACTGAGAACATGTTCTCACAGTCTAATTCCCTGAAAAAGCCTTACTACATTCAATAATGAAATTTCAAAAGGAAAATGCCTGATAAGAGTGAAAATATCATGCCAATTAATGGTTCCTTATTCTTTAAATATGCATCTTGTCAATATATATGTATATGCATGTAGACACACATACATATAGACGCGCGCACGCACGCGTACTGCAGATGGATCTACTGTATTCAGGGTAAGCTGCTGCTTTGCGGGTTGCAGGTACGTTTGTAGGTGGCTCCCTCTGGTGGCTGGTCTTGGCAGTAGCATCCTTCCTGGCCCTGCAATGGACTGGCCTGTTTTTGGTTGCTCCCTAATGGTGCAACAAAGCTCCCAAGAAACTCAAACCAGCCCCCATTCCGCCACATAGCCCAAATGGTGACACACGGTGGAATTATAGTGTTTGTTGAAAAAGAAAGCATCGATAGAAAAAAGGTGGGGAGCACAACTCTTCTCGTTCTCTCCTTTCTCCTTCTTCCCATTTGGGTGAAGAGCCTCCCCCATCCCCTTGTCCCTCTCACTCTTTCTTCCTGCTCCTGGGTCCCAGAAAAGAAGCCTGGCAGACTGCGCCCTTATCAAACGAATTTGGCTTCTTGCAAATACCACACAAGAAGTCTTTAGCCGCCTTAGTGGTTTCCCTCTTTGGCAGGTGTGCGTGTGTGTGTGTGTGTGTGTGTGTGTGTGTGTGTGTGTGTGCAGGCATGTGATTGCATGTGGGTCCAAGTGTGTGTGTGCGTGTGTGTGCATGTTCAGAGAGAAGTTCTGGTTAGAGGGATGTCTCCATGCTGTGTAGTGGGCTCCCGGGCCTGGAAGAGAACGCTGAAGAGGTAGCTGACTTGGTGACATGCGTGGTCAGGTAGATGCCGCTGTCTATGGCATTGTTGTTCTGGTTGGGGGATGAGGGCGGTGGGGCCCGCAGGCGTTCCTCGTTCTCATCCACATCTGTGTCATCGATGAGTGGGATGTTGTGGGTGTAGTCATTGATCAGAAACTCGGGCGTTGCCATGAAGTTATGGATGGAGCTCTTGGATTCCGGTTTTTCCAGGCCTTCATAGAGTGAGCTACGGAATGCTTTCACCACCCGGATCTGGAGCAGGAGATGGAGGGACAGGATCCAAGGTGGGAGTAGGGAGGGCAGGAAGGGATGGAAAAGGAAGGGAAGGGAGGGAAGGGAAGGTGAAAGGAGGGGGAAGGGGGAAGAAAGGAGAAGGGGGAAGAAGAAGGGAGGGGGAAGGGAAGGGAGGGGAAGGGAAGGAAAGGAAAAGAAAGGGAAAAGAAAGAAAAGGAAAGGAGACAGTCAATGTGTCTAGTGCTGGTGAGTTCTACCCACATCAATGGCTGGGGGGTCATCATGTGATAAATGTTCCTACACTGGGGAGCTAATAGGGAGTGGTGCAGCTCTATTGGGTTCTGATCAGGGTTTGCAGTTCTGGGCCTTAGTCTTATCAACTGATCTACGTGCAGGAAACATGGCTGACTTGAGCAGATGTTCTGGAATGCTAGGCTCTTGCCTGCTACCTTCCCTTCCTTTGAGCTGGGAGGACTGGCATAGGTGGCCCTGGGGGATCTCCTTTCAGTCTGAACTCCAATTTGGTAGGAAAGAAATCTTTTCTAGGGACCTCATCTACATCCACTTCGCTCTTGTAGCTGCAGCCAAGATGCTCCATGCCTCCATCTGTCTGACCATCAGTCTTCCTGATGCTAAGCCCACTTAGATTATCTTCATCTTAATCCATCCCTCAGGGGTACTCAACACAGGTGGCCTTCCATTTCTGGAAACTTCTCAAGGCTCCCTGACATTGCTGCTGCTTGGCCCTTCTCTACCTCACCAGCTGCTCTGATCCCACCTCCTCTACTGCTCCCTCCTTTGTTCTGGGGTACCCCAGATCTGACCTGATCCTGTCCCTCCTCCTGTCTGTCCACACCTCCCTTTCCTGGCCACAGTGCTGGGGCCTATGTCGATAGTACCAGGGACTGTGGCCCAGATTTCTCAGAGCTTTGGGTCTAAGAGCCCACTGGTCCCCACCTAGAGGCCAAGACTGAAAATGGCCACATTTCTGATTTGCACACACCAAGCCTGGCCCTGCTTATCTATCCTGCCCCTGGTCTATCATAGTGGGTCCTTGTGGCCTCCTTACAACCCTGTGCCATAGCTACATGTGTCTGATTGCATGCTTGGGGCCGCTGGAGGCCCTCTGCAATCTGGTTCTACCTGCCCTTCTGGCCTGTCTCCCCTTATACCCTCCTCTTCCTCACTCCGTACTCAGACAGGGATAAGTCTACACATTTCTTGGCCATCCCCACTCTTGTTTCCAGTCTTCAGATCAGCATGACTTCCTGTAGGGAAAAGCTTCCTACCATGCCCCAGACCACCCCACCACTGTGGTCCTCTGCCCCCAGCCAAGCTTATGCTCCCTCGAACCGTCTGTACCTCCTGCAGGGCCTGCTCAAGAATTTGCTCACATGTTAGCCTCTCCCTCCTCTGGCTTTTCCGCTGTCACTTACACATGGACTTAAGTCTTTGCAGTTTTACAAGCCACAGCGATGCTGCCTCTTTGCTCCCTTCCTGGCACCCCAGCCCGGGCTCCCTTGTGAAGCAGAGGACATTTTATGAATTCTAATGTCATTTCTAGATCCAAGGAGCTAGGATTTGGGTTTCTTGGTTTAGATAAGGTATGTGCAATCTGTGGCCAGAAAGCGAACTCTGGCCCTTTACTGGTTGTGTAAGTAAAGTTTTATTGGCACGTTGCCATGCGCATTCATTCATCTATGACTATCCATGGCTGCTTTCAAGCTGCAAGGGCAGGGTTGTTTGGTTGCACCAGAGACCTGGTCTGAAAAGCTAAATATATTTTCTCACTGGCCCTTTATAGGGACAGTTGGCTGGCCCTTAGTTTAGACGGTGAATCACCTTGACTACAATGAGTTCCTTTCAGCTCTCCAGTCTGGACCTTGGGTCTGACAATTCAGCCAGGGCAAGCACAGCACTCCTAAATCAGCTTAAATGAGACAAACCTCATAGTCTTTGGAGTACAAAAAAGTGAGCCCAAAAGCTCCAGAAAAGAGTTTTCTAGGTTCACATCTGAAATCTGGTTAGGGTTTTCTCTGGACTTGGTGGAGCCACATCTGCTAGATGGCAGATGGCCAGCTGTTCTCCCTCAGGCCTTTATTCCAGACTGGTTTCTTAAGTAGGGTTAACATGGAAACGGAGAATCATTTGACGTTTTTAATGAAAACAACAGAATTCACTTTTGTAGCCAGCTCAGATGATGCCTCATTAGTTAGGTTTTTTGATGGAGGATTGGAGTGTTGATGCAAGAGACAGACAGCACCTGCTCCAGCTGTTGGCTATACCCATCAAGTCACAGAAAAGAGAAAAGGCTGTGCATTGCTGCCCTTGACCCTGGGGATGTGTTCAGTAGGTTTTCTGGCAATGCACCCATAACCTTGGCTACACCCTTCTCCTTGCTAAGCTGGTGGCCTCATTTGGACCTAGATCACATGATTAGGCCAGACCCCTGCTCAAACCTGCCCACAGGTGTCACTGCACCCGGCTAAATGCCAAGTGCTTCCCTTCCATGGATAGCCAAGGCTGTGGGCAGCCTTCACGTACCCCTCCCTGCTTCTACAGCTACTGCTGCCCTGGCCCTACAGGCACACCTCCTGGGAGGAGGCAAATGCCTTGTTTGCTGCCTACTGCCAGAGTCAGACACAGAGCAATTGACCAGATCAGCCGGCACTTGGGGAATGCAGGCATGAACGAGCAATCTGAACCTGGTGTTTGGCTGTTGTGGGTTTGAAGCCTGGCTCAAGTCATGGTGAGTCTTTAACATATGACAGTGAGTCAGCTTTTCTCCAGCTTGGTGTTGGTCTTATGATGGGGTGTTTTTAGCCCACCCTAAGGCCGAAGGACACAGGCAATTCCGGGGAAATTGGTTTGTGGAAACCCAGCAAACAGTCATAAGAGAGGCCCATCCTGGAGGACTGGGCTTGTACCCAGGTGCTTGTGGACCCCTCTGGGGTTCCAGGTCTGGAGTTTGGTGTTCCTAGGAAACGCACAGCTTGGCCTGAGTGGATCCTGTGCCATGTCCCAGTGCCACAGCTTGCACTGACTTCTCCATCTCAGGTTCCCAACTGGCTTCCTCAATGTTCCCCAGCCCAGGATGCCTCTTCATTTCTACTCTTCCCAAGGGGACCTCGCCACCCTCATTGCTGGGAATACCAACTACAGCCCCATCAGATCACCTAGACGCCACCAGGGCCATTGGTACCACATTCAGCTTCATATCTATAGCCAGGACCCTTGTCCAGATTGCCAGACTTTTGCTCCTGCTGCCTCCCCTTGGATGCCTACTGGACCTCTCACATCCTCACCAAGGACTGCCCCTCACTCTCTTCCCATCCCAGTGCGGGACTCTGGTCAAACCTCAGAGGCACCTCAATTCCCCATTCCACCCCTGTGTGTACACCATCAGTGGGTCTGGTAGGTCCTAATAGCAAAACATCTTCTGCGTCAGAGCCTCTTCTCATCCACTGCTGTCGCCATGTCTGCCAGGATTCTGGAGGACCCTGGGGACTCACAATCCTCAGACCTTGTCTGCCTGAGGCCTCAGTCCTTCCTTGGTGCTTGGCATAAGGCTCTTGAGTAAGGCTCTGTTGCCCTGTGGTTGCCTGTGCTGTCCTTTCTCCAGATGGTATTTCCAGGCTCCCTTGACTACTGAGGGAGACCTGATCACGCTCACACCTGACTGTAAACATTCTAGCAGGTGATGGAACTGAACTGGGTCCTAACTGAAATGGGTCCTAACTCCATTGCAGGTGTGAGCCACTACACCCACCTTTGTAGGATAAATTTTAAAGAGAAAAAATAAAAGCAGTGTTGAAGAAAGATGAGTCCTACATTTACTATGGCTGAGGCTTCTGGGAACCAAAGGGGTCAGGTTGAGCTGCAGGGGGATCGCCAATAATTTCTCATCACCCTTGTGAGGCAATGTGGTTCACTTCCACCTGCCCCGCCCCCCGCCAGCCACTCAAGGGTGTTACTCTTGCCATTATCTTTACCCTTGTCCAGGTCACTCACTTGTCTTGTATTATACCCTCCCCTCTTGGGTCCCACAGTCCTCTCCAGCTGCTACCCACTTTTCTGCCCTCTGTCACAGCCAGTGGTCCTGAGAGGATTGTCGATACTTTATTTCCTTCTTGACATAGCAGAGCACTTGATGCTCCCCCTACCTACCCTCGGCTCCTTTCCAGCCACTTTGTGGACTCCTCCTTTTCCCTTAACTGTTCCCTATCATCCGAAGGCCTTCTATTCCATCTGTCTGCCAACGACTGTCCTATCTCCAGCCCCAGACTTGGATGTCTAAGCTCACATCTCAAATTTAACTGGCCTCCAATCCCAGCGCCAGCCCCCAACAGCCCCACTGCTCCTTCCAAGTGACATCCAGAATCTGCCACTTCACATCCCTCTACCACACTGCCACCATCACTATCACCACACCAGGCCAGGCTGGCTGTTGCAGGGTCTCCTCCATTGTCTCCCTGCTGTCTGTTCCCCCTGACCTCCCGCAATCTGTTCTCAGCACGGCAGCTTGAGTGATCCTTCCAGTGAAAGCCAAGCTATGTCATGGTCTCCACCTAATGCAAACCCTTTGTCTCTCTTAACTTTGTGTCCAGCTTCTGGCACACTCCTGTCCTAGGGCCTTGGCATTGGCTGTGCCCTCTTCCATAAATTCCCTCTTCTTCAGTGCACATCAGGGCCCCTCACTCTCTCCTCAATGAGCCCTCCCTGTCGCTCCCAGCATTCCTGCACCCACTCCCTTCAAAAGTGCCCTCCACCCCAATTATTCTCTCCCTTCCACTGGAACAATTCCCCTGAAGGAGGGGATTTGTCTGTGGGGTTCACAGATGGCCCCAGCATCTAGCAAGGTGCCTGTGCCCAGCAAGAACTCAGTGATTGCTTGCGAAATGTCTGCTACCAGCCTGGTCCCATCCCCCATAAGAGTTTCACCCCTCTTTGAGGCCATCTATCCAGCATGCTGCAACCAGCTAGCTGAAGTTGTTCTGGCACATCCCAGACAGAAGCCC